AACGGAGAGTGTATTACTATTTTGGTGCAGCCCAGATAAGTTCAATACCCATAGTCGATAACGAGGGTAACTTCGTAAATATCTACTCTAGAGGGTAATATGCTCTTCAAACATTATATATATGTTCTTCGTTATTTCAGTTTGTTTTATTTTATTTTATTTTTATGTATATGCAGTGATGTTATCTCATTAACACACGACGACATATACACAGCTGTCCAACTTAATCAGACGACGGTATCTCAAGTAAGCCGGAATCTACCGTATGTATTGTTCTATTGTAATTGTAGATATCAACTTTTTGAATCGAAATAATTGAATTTATTCCATTATATATATAAATAAATACAGGCACTGGAACTTACCGGTGAACGAGGCCGAAATCGATACCAGACATGCACTCGGTTCGATTCTCTGTACCGAGTAATGGAACTTCTCTCCGAACCAGGTTAGTTACTACATTCAACTTTCTGTTAGCTTCTGCATTTCAACACGTAACCGCATTTCGACCCTGTTTCTCAGACGTACGGCGTGTTATTGTTATCGAAGCCTCTACCCTGCGAGTCGAAGGCATAATCACCTTACGAGATGTATTTCGATTTTTCGCTAGGTAAAAAAGAAAAACCCGATATTCGGTTTCAAACGAAATGTAATTAGGGCACTTCATATTGGTTCAGCTCTAATCCATTCAAAACGGAGTATATCTCGAAAGTGCAATCATGCAAACAATCCCCCGAAACAAACTCGTGCGCGACACCTCCCAATTCAATCAAACTAACACCAGCGCTCTTCTTAATCCCCCATCTGCAATCCCGCAATCTCCTCACCTTCACTAAATCTTCCCACCGGTTCGAATTCGCGTACATGTGCGCCAAAACAGAGTAGACCCCACCATCTTCCGGTTTCACCTCCATCACGTGCTTAGCCGCCACCTCAGCAATTTCAAGATTCCCGTGTATTTTACACCCACCGAGCAATCCACCCCACACGAACACATCACCTCCCATCGGCATGTCCTTAATCATATCCATTGCTTCGTTTATTAAACCCGCTCGACCAAGAAGGTCGGCCATGCAGCCGTAGTGCTTCAGCTCTCGTTGAACTTTATAAACACTCTCCATCTCGGAAAAAATCTTTTTGGCTTCATTTATTAGTCCCGAGTGGCTGCAGCCCACCAGAACACCTAAAATCGTGACTCCATCGGATTCGACACCGTTTTCCACCATTCTTGAAAAGTATTGGAGCAATGATATGCCATCACCATGCATGGCCAGTCCCGCGAGCATTGCGTTCCATAAAGACACGTTTTTTTTAGGACATGACCGGAAAACATCCTTGGCTATCTCGATGCACCCACATTTTGAATATAAGTCGACCAATGCAGTGCCTAAATACGAGTCCAATTTGATCTCGTTTCTTGTGATGTGGTCGTGTATTTTCTTACCTTTTGCCAGCTCACCGAGCTGAGCGCAGGCTGAGAGGGCTGAAACCAGAGCCACATTATCGAACACCACCCTTGAATCCAACATACGATCGAACAACTCAACGGCCTCAATGCACCGGTTGGATTTCGCGCACCCTGCCAAAATGGTGCCCCAAGAAACGGCGTCTCTCTGCGGCATTTCGTCGAACATCTTCAGAGCTCTATCAACCTCACCAGCCTTGACCAACCCATCAATCATAACGTTGTAACTCACCACATCTCTGAACAAACTCCCCTCAAACACTTTTAACGCGCCGTCAAATTCACCGCCCCTGCAGTACGTGCAGGCAAGCGTATTGCACACAAAAACATCAACCGAAAACCCGAACTTGAGCAGAACCGAATGAACGCTTTTCGCGAGTGAAATCGAGTTCCCCAACAGCCCACAAGCCTTGAGAACAAAAGGGAACGTGTGGGAGTCAGGCGACACCGATTCCCGGCGCATCCGGCTGAAAAATACCACGGCGGTGCGAGGGGAGCGGCGGAGGGTGTGCGCACGGATAATGGAGTTGTAGTTGAAAGCTGAAGGGTCTGGAATCAGATTGAAAATCTTGGCGGTGTAGGCGATGATACAGTCGCCGCCGCCGGTGGCGGCGGTGGTTGCTTGGGGGTTTGGGAAAGTGAAGGAGTGGAGAATTTGAGTGAGGAGGAGAGATGGGTGGACAGAAAAGAGGCCTCTTGTTAGGGTTTGGGCATGGAGTTGTTGGATTTGTGTAATGGATTTGCAGGTTTTTCTGAGAGTGGTGATGAATTGAGATGATGTTTGCAATTGCATGCACCTTATTTGCATTTTGGTGTTTTGGGTTTTCATTTTTTTCGTTTTGGTGCAAATTTTATAAGCTTTAAATTAAATTAAATACGGCTTAATATCACTTTGCACCCTTTTAATATAATAGTTTTACACTTTGCACCTTCGAAAATAATTAATAGTTTTTTGCACTTTCGAAACACAATAGATCATGTACAATGAAGCCTGGATGATTTTTTATGCTAATAAATGTAATTTAATATTTTTAATCATATTTCTCCGAAACTACTTTGTGCAAAAATACATTTTATTTAAAAATTATATATATATCTATATATTTTAAAATATCTACCAAATATTTTATTATACAATAAAAAATCCACCAATTGAAGTAATTAAAATTTTATAAATTCGAGCTCGAGCCTAGTTTTCTAGGATCACATGTTTTTGAATATTTATGTAAGTTTGATTTTTTGAATTTGAAGTATTATTATTAATATTTTACTATATATTTATAATTACAAAAATAATAAGAATAATTAATTTTTAGTATTTACTATTTATATCAAACTTATTTGTTTAATATATGAACAAGTTTAACTTTTTAGTTTCAAATATTATAATAATGTTTTATTATACACTTATATTAGAAATATAAATAAATATATAATTAAACAATTGGACCATCAGCTTTCGAACAATAGAAGTCGAGTTCATATTTGTTCAATTTGACGTCAAACTTTTGTCGAGTCGACTCACCTCGAGTTCATTTCTTGTTATTTTAAAAGGCTAAAATTGGTATTTTAACTAATAATGGCTATAGATGGGCTGGGCTTAGTTACCATAGTTACTTGGCTCATATTCTCAACAGTGTTCATTTCAGTTTAAGTGTATCAGACATTTAAAAATAAATAAATAAAAAATGAAAAATAAAAAAATATCCAAAAATATTATTTATTAGTCAACTGGGACACTATTTTTGGTACTTTTCGTCACACAACAAAATAATGTCCCCCACTAAGAAATTAAATTATTGCCACTTTAGATAATATTAATTAATTAATAATAATAATAATGTTTGGATTCTACAGAATAATTAGAAAAATGAGGTGTCGACAAACGGACGGTGCAAAGTGATTGTACTCCACATAAAGACACCACAATGACGTGGCGATTGCAAGATCTTTTTAGCAAAAAAGAAGAAAAAATGTTATTTATTTATTTATTAATTAAATGGCATTATAAATTAATTTTAATCAGTTAATTTATAAGTCGATTTTGTTTTTTTTCCCAAGACAAACTTAATTTCATGTTATTTTTGTAAGAAAATAAATTTAGATATAATAAATAATAAAAAGAATAAATGTTTTAATTTAATTTTTAGCTAAAAAAACTTATGTTACCAAAATAATTTTGCAAAAATATAAAATAAAATTAAAGTGAGTGGTGATGGTACTTTTGTACATTCACAATTCTTCTGATTTCAAGTGCTAGACTTGTCAGCCTTTTTGCATTTGAATGTTTGAAAGTATATTATTATTATTATTATTAAGGATTTTTGTAGATGATATTTTGGAGTGTTCTGATTTGCATGCGTCTCATGCCTATACATTTATAATATGTATTTTTATATTATATATGTAGTGTTATTAACTCCGGTGATAAAGGATCTTTCAGCCAATTATATAGTGCATTGCGTAAATGTATATTCCGGTATAATAGCTGGCAAATTTTTAGTGCATTGCGTAAATGTATATATATTCCGGTATAATAGCTTACAAATTTTACGAGAGACATAAATCACACTAGTCTAACCATGTGTGATAAACTCTATCTAGTGATTGTTAGCAAGGGGCTTCGAACTTGGGTTGATTGACACATGCTCACTTGCTCCAACCACTAGGTCATCAATTGCGGGACATATTCGTTTTGGTTGGTAACGAAGGAACTCGGAACCAACTATATAAGTACACTGGGTAAACCTACACTCTTGTATAATAGTTTACAAATCATATGAGATCTCGTACTAAAGATTCACTAAGGAGCACCACCAAGAATAATACCAAAAAACAGATCTCATTTCAGAGTCACTCTCTCTCTCTCTCTCTCAACCCAGCCATAAACTACAAAGGAAGACCGAAAACGAAGCACACAAACTTACCCACTTACCAAAGGTCCAAATCTCACGCAGATGAAGACTTCAGGGCAAGTTAAGAGTATTTAGGGTTTTCTCTCAATTTTAGTCTCCACCAGTCCATCTTCTGTTTTAAATAATGAAGGGACCACCAATGAGTCACAACCTGCCCAGCACGGCGGGGTTTTACGCATGGTTTACGAAGCAAGAAACAAACGTTGTGGTTGAGAAGAGGAGAAGGGTTTCAGGGGGAAAGAGAGAGAGATAGAGAGAGAGAGATCAATAGTCAGGTTGTAAAACCTTGATCCTACGGATATAATCAGTTCTTCAGATCCTTATACATAAGTGGACTCTTGGGTTAAGTACAACCAGACTGTCTCTTGATGGGTAGACAAGATGAAATGGTTTTTAGAACCATCGATTCATTTGGGTCAAAACGCAACAGTTCAGTCTACGATGAGAAAATTTCCATCACAAAAACAAGAAAGAGGTAGACAATTATGTGATGTCATTTGATTGTCACTATATTCTTAATACAACGACTAATAATTAAAAAAAAGGGTAAATTACAACCTCCCCGATGTATGGCCAAATTACAAAACCCCCTTTTTTTTGGGTAATTACAATCACTCCCTTCAATTATAAATCTTCTTACACGTCCATCCTTACGGTTTCAAATTTAGTGGAATCTTCTAGATTATACGTATTATTATCACTTTTGTACCCGTTTTATCCCATTCGAACTCCACATTTTAAAGCAAGATGATCGTAAGATGTGTTTTTTGGCTTGTATATATCAGATTGTGGTGCATCAGAAACTGCATTTTTACACAAAACGAGTACAAACTAGAGCACATTCTACGAAATGTAGAGGATTATGTTGAATTTGACACCATAGGGGTGGAGGTGTAACAAGATTCATAGTTGAGGGATAGATGTAATTATCCAAACAAATGGGGTTTTTCCATAATTTTACCATACATCAGGGATAGTTGTAATTTACCCAAAATAGATATATAGTATACATAAACATGCGTACGTGTACAACCATTGTAATATAGTCACTATACAAAGGTATTGTTATTATTATTTATTATTATTATTATTACCTCTTATTTTAACATTTGATTTGCCTTTTTTGACCTTATTTTAATTCCCTCATGCAATAATGTCCAAAGTTCCTTTAACTTTTGTATCCACATGGAGTACAGATTAGATTTAATCTGTATTAGTTAATATAATATTATAATATATTGCTAAGTGTGGGATAAGTACAACTAAAAGAGGGGACCATTCATAATTAGATACATAATTAATTGTCAATATATATGTACATATAAGTCTTGGAAAATTAAATAAATAATTAGTATTGGATGAAGATATTTTCAAGAGGGAATCACTAGTTGGTTTCAACAAGGTTATATACCTTTCCTTTGTAACAAAAACACACACAACAAACCTTATTAATAACACACACACACACACACACACACACACACACACACACACACAAGGTTTGTATAGTAAATTTACTTTGAACAACAACATCAAGATGAAGAAAAACAAGAAGAAGATCATTTATAACAGATATTGTGAAAAATTGATGCATGTAATATGATGCATATGTATGTATGCACTGGTTTTCGTTCTTTCGTTCTTCGAAATGTGAGAAGAAGGGATGGAATTGCACAAGCTAAGGCAAGTCAATAGAGGCAAAGGGAAGGTTATGCCTTTCTTCCAGGATTTTTCGTTTTTTTCGTCTTTTTTCGACCTTCGTGTGTGTTTTTTCGAGTTGTGTGTGTGCTTTTATGTTGTCGGATTAATTAACCACTGTATAATAACTGATGATGTTCGTGTTGTTCGATTATTTACTGGTTTTTTGCCATTTGTAATTTCTTGATGGAGTGATGTTTTTTTTATTAAAGGAATTAAATTTTTAGCAATTTTCGATTTAAAGATACTTTCTTTACGCGTCGGTAAATGTATGCTGTTCGGCGAGTACAAGATACCGGGAATTCTTGAACAACGAACAACCAGTTCAAACAGTTCACAAATATTCCCCTATTTTTTTGTGTATCAGAACAAACGATTATCTTGATTCGTGAATGTTTTTTTTATTACAAAGTATTTTAAATTTTATGCTCTTTATTTTTATTTAGTTATTATAATCTGTATTATAAAATCAATTGAAATCTTTCCTCAAATCTCATAACAGATCTATTGAGTATTTAACTGCACTCAGATTTAGAAGATCACTCGATATAAAAGGACCAATAATTGAAGATTTATTGTTTCTTTATTTATTTATATTGAAAACGCTTGTCTACAGGTTTATTTGATGCTAAACTCGGTAAAATACTTTGGGTGATTATTAGCCGTTGATCTGCACATAATCACACACACCGATGTGTATGTATGTTTAGTAAGTGGTTATTTAACCCCATCAGTGGTTAAAAATTAAAATTCACAATAAGTTAATTGATTACGTAATAAAGTTCGTAATACAAACCAAAGTAATTGTAGAACATTTATAGTAATACACATAAAACAATGAGGTCTCGTTTGGTTGCCAAAATAAGTTTAAATAATCTAATGAAAATCCGATTATTTTATCGAACTCCAAGACGAACATCCAACAAAAAAGAAACTTTCTAAAAGGTATTTACGGATCGACCCAGAAAGTTATTGGATTTAACAAACATCAAACTGATGTCCGTTATTTAATTAATCATGCATAATCTTTCCAACCAAACGAGCCTGAAACTACAAACTAGTGTCTCAAATTCATTCCTCAATTGAAATATCCCTTCAATTCCACACTCTAAACACAAACTTATATAATGCAAGAAACGCAGAATAATAATCCCGGGTTTTTTTTTTTAAACTTCTTCGTATCCACCAAAAAGAGTAACCATACATCGACAACTTACCGTGTACGATAGTACAACCGGAAAAAGGAAAGGAAAAAAAAAAACTAATTCCGCAGATTTGGTATTTCTTTTGTATGTACCTATAGGGCAAAAAGAATACACCAATTTGTACCTAGTATTACTCAACATATAGAGACAACATATATATGTATATATCCTTAAAAATCTTAATGCTTGTTAGTAAGTTAAAATCCTAGAAGATAGCTTCAACCGATTAAAGCTATCCTCTAGAACAATCAAAATCCAAGGTATAACAACCTCAAGAATGATCACTAATTCGACAAATATATATAACTTTATTTTTATTCATTTATCATCATCATCATCATCATCATCATCAAGAAATGCCATGTGTCGATCATCAATTAGTCGAGTGCTAGACTCTTTTTCATGGCTTCGTAAACGAGATAGGTTATGCTTGCCGAGGGTACAACTTTGAGAAGATTCGGGAAAATCCCTTTATAGAATCCCCGAAGACCTTCCATTTGAAATGTTCTCCTAAATACTTCCGACATGCTACATCGAATACGTTCAGCTTGCATTCTGAAAAGGAAAAAAAGAAAAAGAGCAACTCTTGTCAAATTAAAATACCGAATGATAATAGATTTAAATTTTTTTTGGTATATGTGCATTACCTTGTTCTTACAACCTGTAACGGATAAACACATGTCGCTCCGAGAGCTCCTGAAACTGTCCCACAACTTAGCTGCACTAGAGGACCGGGTTCTGCACAAACGAATGTCTATATTTTAAAAAACGGTCCGACAAAAATGATTTGCATCTCATTAAAATAAATGTTTTACAAGATATTTACGCCTCTCTATTTATGTTACGAATTTGTGTCTATCTTAGTCACGAGATTTGAAATTTGTGTCTGTCTTAGAGAAGAAGTAATTCCTTCGACCCTTTCCCCACCTCTATATATATTATGGCCGAATTTGGTTATGGCTAATAAGTCCTATTGACTAAATAGTTGAATTAAGTTACATGTTCGGTTTACAAGATTCAAACTTGTTGGAGGACACTGTAGAAGTTGAAGCCCGCAATCAAACGAGGCCTATGTTTCTAACAATGAACATAAAACAATCAACTAGTAAATAGAACGGCTAACGAGTACAAATTATATAAGATCATACATACCTCCATCTTGAAGGATATGTTTTCTGGACATATCTTTCAACGTCTCGTACGCAGCCAAATCAATTCCCGCGTAAGGAATAATTCCAAGAAGAGACGGAATCAGCCCTTTATAAAGTGCTCTCGGCCCCTCTTTAACCCATATTTCCCTCGACAATTTCCCCAAATTCGGAACTTTCCCACTCTCACAAACGTAAGTCTGCAACCTCGTCTTCACAAGATCCATCGGATAAATCGAAGTCTGAGCCACCGCTCCGGCGAGTCCACCGGAGGCAAGCCGCCCTAAAGTCCCTATATCGCCGTTCGAATCTCCGATCACACTCTTCAGCTTCTCGTAAGTATAAAACTTAATGGCACTCTCCGGTGCAACCTTCAACACATTTATCCCGTTCCCTCTGAAAAACCCTAAAAGGCCGCCTTCTTTCCATATGCTCTGCACTGCGGGCCCGATCGAGGCCCGTGTGGTCTGGACTTGGAGGATAACTTTGAGGCGGTCGAGCGGCGCTGTGGCGGTGCGAGAGGCAGCTCCGGCGACTCCTCCAGCAATTAGGTACTTGGATGCATCGACGTGTCTGCTTATGCCCTCGGGAATTACGGCGTGCTCGCCTATGTCGACTAGGTAGACCCTTTCGAAGTAGCGGTAGATGTTCTCTATGGTGGCTTCGTGTGGGTAGAGAAGCAGAAAATCTCTCCACTCCTCGAAAGTTATAATTCCGTTATTGTCCTTGTCCACGTGTTCGACAAAACTTGCGAGTTCGTCGTCGTCTAGTTCAATCCCTGCAAAAGATGAACTAATATGACTTGTAGCAAATGTAGACTAGTAGAAGCCGAAAATGAAAATAGTAAAGTAAATCTGTGATTAATCAACCGAGTTCAAAGATGGTCCGGTCCAACTTAACATAAAGAAAATAAACGAAAGGATTCTAACATGCTAAATAAATAGCTAGTAAGTGATTCGCCAAAAGCAACTAATATATTCTTATGTGAGTCGGAACAAGACAGACAAATGCCAGGCAAATTTGATTAAATAAATAACCCAATTTACAATGTTGAGAAGCACCGGGATACAGAAATATGTTAAAGAATCAATTTAAGCATATTCCTTTTCCAACATATTAAGAAACACTAACCAATTTCTAGAGTTTTAACCAATGCTAAAACCAATTTGTTCCACCATTTTTTATGTTTCTTCACAGTTCTAATTGAACAATATGCATATCATGTATAAAATTGTCTCTTTAAGCACTCAAACAAGCATAAGTTGCAATGCGGATACGCCCCGTTCATTTCCATCTTTAAGTATCACAAACATATTTGTTCTACATGCTAGTGTGTGTGTGGGTGTGTGTACGCTCGAATGTCTCTACATATATTAAATACAAATATTGCACGGCAAGACAACACAAACAAGGCAATGGGTCACTAAAGAAACAACTCATACGAATCACTTCTCATCAATCGCAAAACATACACAAACACATTGCTTACTCCCAATCGTAATCCGACATAATCTCAAATTCAATTTTTTTTCTACGCGTTCTAAAAACAATTCAAGAAGAAACCGACAACAATCGTAGCTGCATTTCTCGCATACTTGCAAGATCAAACATACAAAACTCAATCCTAATGTAAATGCAGTCTTTCTCAAAACCCCAAACCTCCATCGAAGCAGTCCCCGATTCAAACCATCGACACACACAACGAACTAAACAAAATAAAGTAAAAAGGGAAATCAAACGGGGGAGGGTTTCAAATTTCAATCGATACACTACTACTACAACTTCAGTGAGGAGTTTAGATAGGTGCTTTTTCACAATCAATTCTAATGTAAATGCAGTGCTTTCTCAAAACCCGAAACCTCCATCGAATCAGTCTCCGACTCAAATTAATCGACACACACGCAACGAAATTATTAAATCCTGCAGTGAGATGAGAGAATAAATACCAGCCTTAACAAGAGCATCCCACAGCTCCTCGGGCAGAATACAGCCATTGTGCTCAACATCGATCGCCTGAAAAATCCTGTACAATTCCAGCTCCTTATCATCCATGTACTTTCTGAACTCCTGATAATCAACCCTACCGTCCCGATTCGCGTCGCACACCGACAGCAATTCCTTCGCGAACTTGTAATCGGCCGGGATTTGCATCGCCGATAGCCCCTTCTCGATTAGGGCGGAATCCAAATACCCGGCGTTGTTCGAGTCGAAGAACCCGAACAAACTCCGAATCCTCGATTCCCGCTCCTCCTTCGTCTCCCGCAGCGCGGAGAGCACGTGGTCCAGCGAAACGGGTCCGGGCTTCTTAACCGGGTTGCAGCATCCGGACCCGGTCTGCGGATCCTTGGGTCCGGGCGCCATTGTTGCAGAAGCAGCAGAAGCTGGTGCTGGGAAGCTCGCATGCCGCTCCTCCACACCCGCAGACATCAATAAATTGGGGCTCGAAATCAATTAAAAAATTGGGGCTCGAAATCAATTAAAAATTGGGGATTTGAAAAAAAAAAAATCACCGCATGATTGAATACTCGGGTCTCTGGTTCGGATCTGTGTAGAGAGAGAGTGGGAAGTTGTGTGTGTGTGTTTGTGTGTGAGAGAGAAGATTGGGTTAATGGAGATTGAGAAAAGAAGAAGAAGGAATATTTGGACAGGATCTTCAACAAGATGATCCGGATAATTAATTGGAGCAGTCTCGGGTTTTTAAATTTTATTTATTTATTATCTTTTATGATTTTTGATTTAATTAATTTGGTTTTTTTACTGTCAAAAAAAAAAAAAAATTGGGTTTTTTTTTTTTATGTTAATATATTTTGATCTGCAACTTAAAGCAGAGAAGAGAATATAAAAAAGCAACGCGTATTTATTACGAGGGGCGTTACTTCAATTTAGTGTAATTTAAGGGCCCCTCTCTAAATTTTGAACAGAATTTAGTTTAGTGACTGTCCATTTGCATTTGGGTTTTTTTTACCAGAAAAAAAGAAAGAAATAAGAATGATGTTAAAATTTGAAATGGAATGAAGTTGTCAAAAGTGAAAAAAACTATTTTTTGTGTATTTTTTTTAAGTTTGACTTTGACCCTTTCTTTGGGGGCTAGTTATAATATGTTATAAGTTAGGGTAAATTACGAAAGCCCCCTAAACTTAGATTACATTATGAAAAAATGCCTCCACTTGTCCGTAATTATTAAAATCTCCCGGACGTTTGTTTTCATTTTACACCGACACCCTTAGGGTGTGATTTTTTACGGAACTTTTTTTAGTACAAGATATGTCATGTTTATAGGGGTAGAATTTGTATTTTTCGAAAAATATTGCATGGAATCAAAAAGATTCCGTGAAGAATCACATCATCATAAAGGGGTTGATATAAGACGGAAACAACCGCCAGGGGAATTTATAATTACGAATAGATGGGTTTCTCTTTTTTGTAATTTAGCCTAAATTCAGGGGGATTTTTATAATTCCCTACAAGTTATAACCAAATCTTGATAATTAGGCAACTTCAGAAATATACCTAAATCTAGATATTATTTGGTGCATTTGGTTAAGTTTAAAAGATAGGGTAAATTACAAACACCTCCTGAGGTATGGTCAAATTACAAAAACACCCCTCTTGTTTGAATAATTACAACCACCCCCCTCAACTCATCAAATTTAGTGGAATCTTCGAGATTATATGGAATATTATCACTTTTGTACCCGTTTTATCCCATTCAAACTCTACATTATGAAGCAAGATGATCATAATATGTGATTTTTAGCTTGTATATATCAGTTTGTGGTGCATCGGAAACTGTATTTTTTACACAAAAAGAGTACAAACTAGATCACATTTCACGGAATCTAGATGACTATGTTGAATTTGGCACCATAAAGGTGGAGGTCTAAGAAAAAATCACAGTTGAGGGGGTAGATGTAATTATCCAAACAAGAGGGGGGTTTTTGTAATTTGACCATACCTCAGGGGGGTGTTTGTAATTTACCCTAAAAGATATTGAAAAAATCTTATAATATATTTAAAAGCTTATAAACTCTTTTAAAATACTAGTAATTATTATTTTTTAAAATTTTAAAAAATTCAAAAAATAATCTGCTTGGAGTGAATAATGTTTTTTTTTTTTTAAAATACATCTACCCAATCGTTTTATTTAAGATCTTATAGCCAGTAAAAACAACTTATAACCCCATTATCCAAACACTTGAAAAATTAATTCAAAAAATAGGACGCAACAGTTTATCAATTCTCAAAATAGTTTATCAGATGTAAAAGTTTATTGGTTTTTTAAAATAAGTTTAGCCCAACTGAACCCCACCCACAATCAACCATCAAACTGAACTTTTCAAACGAAAAAAATGTGTTTTAAATGTTGTTATTATTTGAACGAGCCAAACTCCAAACGAGCTTTCAATCATCGATCTCAATCGAATGCGAAATTTGTGACGTTTCACCATATGAAAAAGTACATTGGGAATTTGAGTAATTTAAACATCAACAAAATTCAATACATATGTAGATATTTCATTTATTTATTTTTAATTTTTTTTTTTACAATACAAGAAGATAATAAACATAAAAACACTGGTATGAAAATACACAAACTTATCTTGAAACAATCTGCAGAAAAATATACGAAATCGAAAGAAACAAAACTCACGCTATTATTGGTTCATAGCCTTCATTTCTTCTTCCACTCGTACCTCTTAACAAAGAAACGACCGCAATCGACAGCGCAGAAACGACCACAGAAACCAATCCAACTCCAAAAAGAACGAAACCCCAGTTGAAATTGGATTTCGTGCTACTCTTGTGATTTTCCTGTACATTGAAGAATCAATAATCAACTCGTAAATTCTGTAATAAAGTTAATTGCATTTAGTAACCCCTGTATTATAACAAATTGCTAAAAAAACTCCTCGTGTTCTAAATATAAGCAAATAACCCCGCCCGATGCATTTTTTTTTTTACCACACAACCCGAAAATTATGCGGTTTTACAGGTAGATTTGCTAATAAAATTGAATCGTGGGGGAAATTTTTGCTAATATATATATATATATATAACAGGGGGAGTTTTTTGACAAATAGAGTAAATACATGGTGCTAAATGCAATAAACCCAAAATTTTTGGTTCGAAACAGAGAGTTCAAATGAAATAGGTAGAAGAGTTAACTGTAATATTTATATTTTAAATGTACCTCTAGCTTAAAATGTCATGCATTGCTCGATCACATAACCGTAGAAATTAAATTTCGAAAAAAAAAAAAAAGAGGAGGATAAAATAATCTTACTTGTGCTGGATAACTCTGGACAAGATTATCTCGTTCCGGCGACGAATCAGAAACCAAGAGATAAAAGAGGCCCATTACACCCGTATGTGTCTGTGTGCTGCTATAATTAGATACCAAAGTCAACGTCTCCCCATCGGAAATCTTGACCGAACCAGGCGAAGGGTAACACGTCGACATTCCGACTATATAACCGGCCTCGTTTCCCGGTTCTTTTCCAGTCCCGTATGTTGGATTCGACGAGCATATCAATCTTCCTCCCTAAATCATTTCATCATCGCACAATTAAATATAAGGATATCAATTATTTTATCATATAGTAAAAAATAATCGTAATTTCGATAAATAAACAAGAAGAAAGATTTTTACGAAATAAACGAGTAGTACCTCTCCGTAAAGAGCTGTACCGGAGCCTCCTGCGTGCTGGTGCCCAACCCCGTAGATAACGTCGCCACCTGTCGGTAAACTAACACTGAGGGTTTTCGTGTGCGTGCAGCTATCGTGGGACCCACCGGCCGAACAAGATTCGACGTTGTACTCGATCTATATTATATTCACAACATCTCAAAATTAAATCATTTATCGCATTACGTCCTTCGAAAATCTTTCTAGATAGTTTATTGCATTCGGCACCCTCGTGTTATCAATATTAGCAAAAAACACCGACGATAGAATTTTTTTTAGCACACAACCCTCTAAATAATGTGTTTATAGACGGTGATAGAATTGAATCGTAGGGGTGCCTTTTGCTAATATTTACGATGCGGGGAGTTCTACAACAATTAGAATGAACACAAAGCTGTTGAATGCAATTACCCCATATTTTATCGACAAATCCAAGAAAATATAATTTTTGAAGTTGGTTTTTTTTTTTACCAGGCAACGGTGTCTAGCTGCGATCCCTCTTGACTCGTCGGCTTTCGTCCATATATCGGTGACATCGAGTATATATATTCGAACGGGCACGATCGACTCTTCCCAGTCGATATACTCCACCGTGTACCTCAAGTATAGGCTTCTCCGACTCGTCTCCACACCACCCTCGAACCCTTTTTCCACACGGCATTTCGCCCCGTCGTGACAGCACCTCAAGCCCCCATTATAGTTCCCACCGTCCACGGTCATGTTGTACAAGTCGCATCTGCACTCGGTACAACCCATCTTGTCCTCGGCCCCACGGGTGTCGATCGCGTGCACGTTGAGCATCCACCGCTCTTCGTACCTATTGGGAAAATAATATAAATATATTAGATGATTCGTATCAATGACAGCTTAAACTTTTAGATGAGGTGGTCATTCGGCAGTACCCGTCAGCCGCCACGTCAGCAGGATTGCCGACCTCGATGCCGTACGGGTCCGGAACATCGGTGGACGTTTTACGGGTCTCGGATCCGAGCCCGAAGTACTGCGAGAGGCCCGCATCGCACATGCCGCTGTTCTTGACTACGATGTGATCCGATTGGAGGAAACCGAGATCGCCTTGGTGGGCCCCACTATCTGCAGTGTCTTTCCGTTGGTGGTATCGTAAAACGATCCAATGGTGGAGATACGTTTCGTGGAGTGGGATTGGATTCCCTTTCTCGTCGACCACTTCCGCGTTGAAGCTCTTGATGGCGATGTGGCCTTTGGGGAAATCGACGTTGTAGTAGTATTTGTTCGAAACCGATCCGGGCTCCATCACGAATTTAGGAGAGAGAAACACTTCGGATTTCGAATTCCCGTTTCCGATTCTTGGATCCGATAGTGAAGTCTGGACTGAAACTAACAAGAGGAGGATCGCTGCAAGGCAGTGCAACGGGCGTTTCGAATCAAGAACCATTTTTTATTTTCCTTTTTTCGTTTCTTTCCTCCCGATTGGTGTGGCACTTCACATCTGCTCAAAGCATAAATTAGCAAAACCGAAAAAACGCAATCATACGAAAGATTGTCGTAGGAAAAATACTCAAGAAATTAAAGCAGCTTTTAAGTAACTCGTGTATATATTCAATATCCATTTTCAATCAAAACAATCCAAATTAGTTAAGAGATGAAATCAACTCTATCACATATCGAAATTCGATAGCTCAACTAAAAGAACATCTGCACGACCCTTTCGACACATTCGGAAATCGGAAACCGTACTTTCAAGAAACCACAGTCACTGAAATTAGAAAGGGATTGAGCCCACACACACACACACACACACAAACACAAACACAAACACACAAAAAAACTGCAGACAATAAGAAAACAGACAAAATAAATTGAAATTACATCTACTGGAAGATACAGTACTCCAACTAACACATATTTTTCTTGCTCAACAAATAACAAAAAAACAAACAAAAAAACAAATTGAGATTCTAGGAATCTTGAAATCAAGAATCACAAGCAGTACCCCACCACATGAAATAAAAATTCTCCTTTTGGGAAAAAAAAGGTCCCTTTTCAATAAGATGTACTAAAATCCAGACACTGAACCCTGAAATCAAATGATTGAAAACCTAAGCAAAAGGGGAAAAAAAAAAAAAATTAAACGATAGGCTTACCCGAGAGAAATCAAGAATCAATAATTCGGATATTCTTGAAGGGCTCAAAGCAGAGGGCATGCAGGAATCAATTTTCAGACACAAGCTAAGACTGAATATCTCATTTTACCAATGTGGACATCTATTAATTATTTCTTACAGCCGCATGTTTTTCTTTGAGAAAAAACAAAAAATATATAAATATATATTATATAAATATTATTATATTAATATTGTCATTGAATACATCGACACTTAGATATTGACATGATTTCCCATCTAGAAGCCCCGGTTAAGGATTGGTTCGTTTTTTTGTCCAAAGCACTACGTCATAAGCTGTTTTGTGGATCTTAAACTTTTTTAGTTATTAGTGATGTACTATACAAAAAATGAATTTATGTTTTTCAAAATAGTTGCCAAATAAAGATTCGATCTTGTGGTGATGCCTAAATGGTCCTAACAATAACAATAAAATTGAATGGGACAAAGAGAAGTACAAGACGAAAGAAAGTTCGCCCGAAAGAAAGATTAGCATTCCCACGATCAAGTCAGTCGCCTAGAGTGTAAAACAATATATAAATAATTCTTAGAGAGGTAAAAAAAAATGTATATTGAATGTAATATACATGGGGAAGGAAACATGTTTTTTCCTTGTATTTACATTTGCCATGGTGATGAGTCTGGTGGGACCCCTGCCTTATCAAGACACGATGCACGTGCATGGTTAGTGGTGACATGACAACTTGTTACAAGCTCATTTTATCACTGAACGCGATATGCTTCCTTTCTCTGCGATATGGACAACTCTATGGTTACTCTTAACTACCCTAAGAGAGCTGATGTTGGATAGGGGTTTTCCGTCCTTATTTCTGATATTGAACTGAATATAGTCACATCTATCGTTTATACATGTCCTTTATGTGGCTATTTGGTAGGTTTAGTAGTTATAGTGGATGAGACGACTTTATATATCTTTTCTAATTCGATTTGGGCTTTCGAGCAATTAAGCATGCATCGCCTTGAAATCTTTAAGAGGGTAATGTTAGAAATTTTTCGTACATACATACGAATTCCCAAGAACCAACATGCTTGAATCAACGAGAATTAAACATAAACATAAACACACATAAACATAAACACGGAAGCGTACCTTACATCATTGAATCGAATCTTCGAATCTCCACTAGATTTGGGACAGGTCTTCCAAAGAATCCGCAATTCCTTATTTTTCTCTCTAACGATGGATTTTAGAAGAGATGGAATGATTGCGTTTCTTTGGGGACCATGACCCTTTATATAACTGTAGAGTCCAGTTATATTATAATTGTGATTCAGCCCCATCAATAAATCACAATTAAACCCTAATTGTCTCTACACATTAGGCCCATAATCATAGTATAATACCCATAAGTCCAACCCATTAATCTTTATTAGATCACAATTAATTTGGACATTCTTTCAGATAGCCATAGACATTTACATCACATATGTGAGCCCACATAATTATTGAAATAATTCCAAGAGGTAATTGCCATTGAATCCATTTGGTTAATGTTAGATGTTGACAAAATAAATAAGTTGATTGTTCAATCATAGAGTAGGTAATTACCATTTTCTTGGAAAGTTAGAAAAGTGAGTATTCAATTGAAATTGAACAATTTTTTCCAATCAAGAAAGTGAAAAAGACCTATGCAAAAAAAAAAAAAAAGGACATTATTCCCATTGAAATAAAACAAATATGTCCAATCAAGAATCATAGATAAATCAAACCTAAGGGCATCTCCTCTCAATCGGGGGAGGGGTGGGGGTGGGGGTGGGGTAGGGCTGGAGTATATAATGTGTAGGGGAAGGGCTGGGGTGGGGGCAGGGGTGGGGGCTGGGGGGGCTGGGGCCTGGGGAGGTGAAATGAGCCCAGGCATAAGCCCTGGGCTCTCACGCGCCCCTCCCTCCCGTGACTTTAACGCTTGCTCTTTTTTTTTTTTTTTATGGTTTTTTTTTTTTTTTTTTCTTCCACGTAGGTTATTATCCCCTTCTTTATTCTTTTTGTTCCCTTTTATTTTTTTCTTTCTTTTCTTTATTTATTTTTCATTTCTTATTTTTTTTAGTTTTTTAATTTTAATTTATTTTAGTTCTCGTTTTCTTTTTTTTGGCTCTTTCTTTTTTCTTTATTTATTTTGGCTTTTTTATGGGTTTCTTTTATTTTATTTTAGTTTTTTCGTTTTTCTTATCTAATTCGATTTTTTTAATTTAAAAAAGTAATTTTATTGCAAACATTTTATTAATTATATTAACATTACATGTTATTATATTACAAAATAGTTTTAAAAAATGACAATATAATTAATAACCTAATAATAGCACAACATTATTATTATTATTATTATTATTATTATTATTATTATTATTATTATTATTATTATTATTATTATTATTATTATTATTATTATTATTATTATTATTATTATTCTTATTATTCTTATTCTTATTATTATTATTATATGGTGAGACTGGTGATGGAAAAAATGAAAGAAAGAGATTGATCGGTTGGACGAGAAACGGGTTGGGGTCGGGGTCGGGGTCGGGGGAGCCCCGGGGAGCCGCCCCCCATCGACAGGAGATGCCCTAAAGTAAACCAAAAAGACTGTGGTTGACAAGTCAACTTTTGCATTGAATACAAGAAAAATGTGAGTCAGAAAATTAAGAAAAATCATCGTGTCTTGCATAACAAAAGCTACGTTTGGTAAGCTTCTCAAATTATTTTCATTTTTTTCCCAAAAAAAAATTATTTTTCTGAAATATTTTCAAAAACTTTCCTAAAAAAGATTATCAAACATAGCCAACGATTTTCGCTTTCAGGGTGGGTGGGTGTTTGCAAAAGCTAATAACATAGATCATCGCTATTTTATTTTTAATTGTCAAAAAAGTCCTCGTAATAAAATAACTAGCAAATACCCCTTATTTTGTATTTTATATTGCATTAATCAGATTTAATTGTTGATTTGAATGAAAAAGACAAAATTATCCCGAACCCAATTACAAATATCATGAAAAAAGGAGAAAAAGAAAAGCAAGAGCAAGAGAAAAAGAAAAGCAAGAGCAAGTCATAGACGACGGGAGAGGTGGCGAGGCGGGCGGCTAGTTCAGAGTTTTTTGAGCTGGCCGGCAATTAGTGGTTTTAGGTGTAGTGTAGGAGACAGTTGTTTTGAAAGTGTAAAGGACTGGAATAAAAAAAAATTTGGAAAATTCATTTTGGTGCTTATAAAAAAATCAAGATGAATCTGCAATTTTGAAATTTGTGATGAAGGGTAATTAGGTCTTTCAAATTTGTTAGGGGTTTTTCCAGCTCTGACTACATTTTATAGGGGTGTCCCTGACCATTTTGTTTTTAAACGGGGGGTTTTACGGCAATTAGAGATTACACGAGGTAGTTTATTGCAAAACAAAAAACCAGTGTTTGCAACGCGGCAGCTGATTGTTTGAACAATGGGGCGGATTGTAAGGGTTCCTTCCATTTTTACCGGGAAAACAAACCGCTCGTTCTATTACTCCCCCTTTCTCTCTCTACTCTCTCTCTCTCTCTCTCCACTCAGAAAGCAAATGGTAAAATTGTTGAAGAAGATCAATCGAACGATTCATCGATACTGTTATGGATAAGAAAGAGAAAGCCAAAGAGAAGAGAGAAAAGAGGCGCCAACAGATCTCTCTCCTCCGCACCATTCCCTATTCCGATCATCAGAGGTAAATCGAACGGTCGTGATTGTTTGAGATTAACAAATCCGATGCTCAATTGCAAAACTCACCTTTTTTTCTGTGTGTACTGTGTGATTTCTGTCCTCGATTAAGGTGCCTTTCATGGCGGAATTTGGGGAAATGTTGGTTACAGTAATTTTTAAAATTGGATTTAGGGCTAGATAGATTGTTTCAGCTCACATTTTAAGATTTATTGAATTTGCCTATAAAAAATTGAGATTGATTGAATAGAAAGGAATGATTGATTGTGCATTTGTTAAATGATCCCTAATTAACCTTCTACGATATCTACATTGTTCGATTACGATGTAAAAACAGGCGAATCGCCCCCTCGTGTTAATTTTTATCACCGTTTATTTGTTCTTCAGATGGTGGACCTCCGAAACTATTGCAGTGGTGACGGGTGCAAACAGAGGAATCGGGTTCGAGATTGTACACCAACTCGCGTTGCATGGATTGACGGTCATCCTCACATCACGAGAGACAGCTGTCGGTGAAGAAGCGGCAAAAGTCCTTCAAGAAGGAGGTCTGGATGTCGTTTTTCATCAACTCGACATTGTGGACCCTCCGTCGATCGAATCCTGTGTCGATTGGATTAAAGAAACTTACGGTGGTATTGATATATTGGTAGAGTACCCTTTTTCCCTCTTTAACTTTTAAAATTAATCGCTTTTGTTTCAATCCCGCTTTACAATATATATTACTGATATTGTTATATTCATTGGCTACAATAAAATAAAAATAAATAAATCTAGGTAAACAATGCTGGAGTAAATTTCAGCACTGGATCAGAAAATTCAGTGGAATCTGCGGATAAAGTTATCGGCACCAACTACTTTGGTACCAAAAACATGATCAAAGCAATGATTCCTCTCATGAGACCATCAGAAGCAGGTGCTCGTATAGTCAACGTCAGTTCCCGTTTGGGAAGATTGAATGGCCGGAAAAACGTAATTAATTACTAGAACACCCTTTTCTCTATTTTGCCAAAACGATGTTAGAATTTTTTTATTTTTTTGAGAATCTTTATTTGATTGGTGCAGAGGATTGAGAATCTTGATTTGAGAAAAAAACTGGACGATGAAGAGACGCTGACCGAGGAATTGATCGACGAGACAGTGAACACGTTCTTGGAGCAAGTGAAAGACGGGACTTGGATTGAGGGCGGGTGGCCACAAACTTTCACGGACTATTCGTTGTCCAAGCTGGCGGTGAATGCTTACACGAGGGTTATGGCTAGGATATTTGCTGAACGGCCCGAAGGTGAGAAGATATACATCAATTGCTACTGCCCTGGTTGGGTGAAGACTGCTATGACAGGTTGGGCGGGCCATGTCAGCATCGAAGAAGGGGCTGATACTGCCGTGTGGCTTTCCTTGCTTCCCGATCAATTTGTCAGCGGCAAATTTTTCTCTGAGAGGCGTGAGATACACTTCTAAAAATGGAGAAATTATGGGTTTTTTTTTCCTTTTCGTTAAAAAAGTGTGGTTTGGCCTGATATTCGAGGTTAGAGAAAGTATGCCAGAGTAGCTTCTTTTGTTTTTGCATTGCATCTGTTGGGGCTTCAGGAACAAACAGAGAGCAGTGAGATTCGACTAGAAAGAGCTGCCTTTTTTCGTTTTTTCGTTAACACAGTGTGGTTTGGCCTGATATTCGAGGTTAGAGCCCGTATGCGAGAGTAGCTTCTTTTGTTTTTGCATTGCATCTGTTGGGGCTTCAGGAACAAACAGAGAGCAGTGAGATTCGACTAGAAAGAGCTGCATTTTTTCGGTTAATCGTTAATAATATTTTGCCTTATTTAATGATTTGATT